TTGGTGGGGATATATTATTTTGGTTTTTCATGTTATTATTTTTTCTCTGTGATTTTGACATGTGAATTTCTTTTGTAGTTTCTGATTCTCTCAAACCTTGAAATTTAGGTCTGCTTCTTTTTGTGAACTGTATGTGTCTTTGTGGTTTACTTTTTTGGCATGAAAAGCTGGTTCCTCTAAGCTTCCAGTTCTCTCTTTTGATTTTATATTGGAGTAGCCAGATTGCTTTTGTCTTCAGGAGCTCCCACAGAGGATCAGATGCTCTCATGCTTTCTCCTAAGGTCTGGATCCCTCCTGGATAGATTTTGTCCTCGAGAATTTGGGGGTTGGACTGTCCTGGGAGCCATGCCCAGGAAAAATACTGGTCTGGAGCAGCTGGTGGCCATGCCACCCAGAGATGCAAAGGAAGATGGGAGCAGGAGGTGGCCCCAAGGGCCCCTGGGTACTGCACTGAGTAGCTGGTTTGGTCTGAATGCAAAAGACCAGGAAGAGGAAAGGTCAGCCCTGGCGTTCAGGAAGGAGGCTGGTGGTTTGTGCAGACCCAGGGCAGGGCCAGGCCCAGAAGCAGTGTTCCCCGGGGACCTGAGAAGGAACTGAGTTGTTCTGGAAGCACAGGATCAGGAAGAAGTAGTGGTGGTTCCCCAGGTTTCTGGGGCACCAAGACAAGGAATGGGACAGGACCCAGGCTATGAGGAGAGACCACGGGGGAGATGGGAGGGTGAGTGAGGCTGGGGGAGTCAAGGCGCGGAGGGCCGAATCGACTTACCCCAGAGAGAGATGCCTGCTTGTTGGAGAGAGGCCTGTGGGTCCTTCAGGCCCAGGGAAGCAGAGGGGTTCTTCTTACTTTTTAACATCACTGCTAAGATAGCCAAAGTGACATGGCTTATATTTGAGGCCTGCATTATATACCTATTGGACAGTGCTGACTTGATGGGGGGTATTCATATCCCATATGGTCGAGTCTCGATCTGGTCATGTGCTGCTAGCTCTGGGGCTGGAGAAATAGCCCAGAAGTAGAAATCTTGTCTAGCATGTATGAGGCCCTAGTTTTCATGTCCAGTGCTGCAAAAACAAAGGAGATTTGCAGGCTTACTGTCTGAATGATTTGTTTTCATATTTGTGTTCCTTTATGTACCAGCTGTATGATGTCAAATTTTAATATCCCACCCTGAAAACATATAAGAAATTTAAAGCATCTCCTATATAAAATTTAATTCTCCCAGGTAGATTCCATCTCTGCCCAGTGATTTAACTGCTTTGTTCCTCTTTTCTTTCTCTTGAAAATAGTACGTGATGTTTCAAGTATGTGAGTGATCTAACTTAAAACTAAAAGTGTGCAATCTTCTTTCTTTATTGAGTCACTGGTGCTTTGAGTTTTTCCCCTCACATTTTTACCAGCGACTGAAATTAAGAACCTCTGTGCTGCCCTTCAATTTTTATTCAATATTCTGTCATAGATAGCTTATTTTAAAATGATAAATTATTGTAACATTGAAGAAATTTCAAGCCAAATGAAGGGCATAATGATTTTAGCTTATTCTTATACCCTAAGAGAATTTTTTTAATGTAGTCCTATATCCCCTACTTTAAGCAAGGTATGACTTGGAGTAGCATGGGAAACAATATCTTTTCACCCTCCACTCTTTTTTAGCCTTCCTACTGGCAAATACCCTGAATTCTAGACTCTTACTCTTAGCTCAAAGGAGCCACTTAGTTAGACACCTTCACAGCAGCTAATCGACATGATCGGACTCAGGTCCCTTAGAATTATACACAGCTCAGTAGCATTTCTGGCAATTGACACCTTGTGAAAAATACTGTAACCCATGTTAGCCATGTGCTTGATGGCCAGAACTGTAAAGTGTTAAGAAAGAAAAGGTAAAATATTTTAAATTTTGTTTCTGTTAAGTTTCATGAGCATCTTTTGCATGCTCTCCATTCTAGCTTCTAATGATTCTTTTTAGGAAAAGTCTTTAGACATACACCAGCATTCAAAAAAGGAAATGAGACATTTTGGCTGCTGTCTCTCAAACATAAAATATACCCTTTCAGATGACGCAGGTCACTTTTTCTTTATATAATATCTGCATTTCAAAATGAATAACCGATATGGATTAGGTAAGAAGTGAATGCAAATGTGTTTTTCAAATAGTGCCTTTTGTGATAATCTCAGATGATAGTTGGCTGCTGGAGGTATTAATACAATCAGTATTTAACCTTGTGTAACTCTGCTTCATCAAATCACGCCCTGCACACTGATTGCATTAAGCCAGGTCAGTGGTTTCTTGCTTAGGAATATCTTATAAGAATCTTAACAGGAAGGCAGCAGTAGCTGATCAGCTACTGTTTATTTGCATACTGAGTGTGTCATCAATAATACAAAAGACAAGGTCTTTAAGTTGAAAGAACACTGGGATTGGCATGAATTTTGCTTAATGGTGCGTAATAAGCAAAGCAGTCTGTGATGCTAGAAACTGACAGGATCCATTATGTTAAAACAGATATATGTCTTTAATTTAGGGGTATTATGTAAATCTGACAGGAGTTTTTCCCTTTATTTTCCTGTAGTTTAACTTTAATTGCTGTAAGATTAATTCCGATTTCTCCTGTCCTCCAGAGGGTGATGAGACTGGCGTGATGGATAATCTTCTAGAAGCCCTACAATCAGGTGCAGCATTCAGAGACCGAAGAAAACGAATTCCAAGGAATCCAGGTAATACCCACTCTAGCTTACATAGTCTTGCAAAATGTAAATGTTCTACAGCAAGTCACTCCTCCAAAAAAGGAAATGTAAACTTTCTCATGAAGACTTTTTGATCTCAGTGGCTCTCAGTTCTTGTGTGAAATCAGAATAGGACCCTACATCTACATGTTTGCAAGTTTTAACCTGATAAATGTAACTTGAAATAACAGTGTGCTTTGGGGATAAAAAAAATCAGAAATAAGGACTCCCCCTGTGTTTAATATTAAATATTTTAATTGTTTTATGAGCATGGGTTTGGGTCGAAGGTGATTTAAAACCACAAATGTAATTAAATCATTAAAAATCATTGGCTCAAGAATGTCACATTAGCTGTTCACAGGTGAGAAAACTAAGACAATGCCTGTTTCTCCAGTTCATTCTTGTTTTCAGTGTGTATGTTATCTATCATCTTTGTTAATAATGGAAGAATACCCACTGATAATATGTGTTCCTCAAAAAAAATCACAAAGTACTTGGATGAATTTTTGTGTGTATTTCATTAATGACAGATCTCAGGGGAGAAATACATAAAAGAAGGAAAATAGCCTCCATCACTCAAGTGGAACTAGAAGGTTCTCTTTGTCTGTTCAGACCCTATGTGTGAGGTAAATAGTAGCTCCTTCTCGCAGGGTAATCCAAGTGGCCTTAACTGTTCGCTTCCTCCTAGTAGGGTGTTATAGTTTCCCTTCATATCTTTCTTAGTGCAAAGGAAGAAAATAGGTATGTTGAGTTTAAGTTTTATATCAATGGGCTCTAAAGCTATGTGGAGAAGTAAATGAAAAAGGGAAAATTAACAGTAAATACACAAACTCTACTTCATTTAAATTAATATAATTTTACTTAAATAGCCTCTAATTTCCAAAACATTCTGTCTTTCAACTTTAAATTGCTGAATATTAGTAGAATAGAAATTGGTAGCCATTTTAAGCAGACAATTTAAGGAAAAAAATGGTATCTAATGTGGTGTTGTCCATAAAAACTTTGGTAGTGGTGAAATTCATGGCAGAAGCCAATATAAGATGTATTAACCATTTTCCCATTTGGGAAAATTTCCTGCTTGGGTAATGGTTAATATTCTACCTTTGCCCTTCAGAGAATGACTATAGAAATTAGCATACAGCTATGATTTGATTAAGAGAAGAAAAGTATTTTGATTGGAGGGTCAGAGTGCCTTATGTATGTAAAGACATTACAGATGTCTTCTAAGAATGTGTTTATATGGTCATAATATTAAAGTGATATTGCATGTCAGAATGCTGAAAGCAGTACTAGCCCACACCTATGAGGCTGTCGTTCTACCTGCCCTTGGTCTTTTGTGTCAAATGAGAATGGTCTACCACAGTGAGGTTTCTTCCATCCTGTAATATTAGCAATATCAGTCGGTGAGAGGAAAACTGAAGTAATTTTTAATCAATATAGTTCTCTGTTGCTATACTGATAAGAAAAAAAAGAAACTTGAAAAGCATGTTATTCTGGGACATTTCAAAAATGTCATTCTCTTCTAGCCTGCTTATTTTAAAAATATGCATATGATAAGTCTCACACCTCACGCTGATCCTGTGTGAGAGAGGGACATCATTCATTCCAAGGGATTTCTGTAAGTTTGATGCTCAAGGGAATATAACGTTGCCAGCTGTGAACCACCAGGAATATATTCATGAACAATAGAATTTTATTATACTGATTCCAGGTTATCTAAATGGAGATCTCCTTTGATGTGTGGCTAGAGTACCCCTGTAAAAAATAGGGTAAAAAATAGTCTATTTAGCACTAGCACTGGTGAGAGCCAAAGCAGAAATCCAGAATTAAAAGGAAACTAGAGAGCAAGGAAGAGAAACAGAGACAGAAGGAGAGAGATCACAACTCTACCAAAAAAATGTTCCTGTCTCCTTGCCTCTTCCTAGAAGCAGCGGAACAGAGTGGGGACTTTTACAGGATTCTTGCCTGTCTTGCCTTTTGTAATTAGGTCATCTTTCCCTGCTCATTCCGTGGTTCTTTTAGTTATTTGACTTGGTTCTTTTTCGATATCTCCTTGAATAGATATTGTTACACTTTCCTTGTTCAACACTGAAATCCTTACTCCTTTATCACAACCACCATGCCAGCATATAAAATAAAAGCAGAAAAAAGCAAAAAAAAAAAAAAAAAAACCACTCAGAGAGAGCCCAAGCAGCAAAGATACACTATACCATTCTATTTGTTATCTCCATGATCATCACTTACAGATGGAATTACTATTGTATGTAAAATCCAGAGCTATACTACTGAGTTTCTAATAGCATTGTTTTCCTTTCCATATTTAAACAAGTGAATAGAAAAATCTAAGTGTTAATAAATGATAAGACTAGTTGCCTAAATACCAGCCTTTACCACCGAACCCATACCACCTCCCCAAAGAGCAGTACATTTTCAACTGTTGCTTCTGGCCCATTCAGCTGATTATGCCTGAGTATGCCATCTCAGTTAAGAGCACTAAAAAGCATTTCAAGGTAGACTCTCACATCACAAATGATAGTAAAAATATTAATAAGTAACATGATGCAAGCCCCAATAAGTCAGAAGTCACATAGGCAATAAATAGGTACCCTGATTGTGCTGATACATGCTGACTGAATAGGAACCTAGATCACAGGATTTGCTTGATATCAAACTCAGATTAGGAAGTGAGCCCTAAATATTCGTTAATTTATTGTACATCTGTTCTGTGAAAGGTACTGTGCTGGACATGGTAGAAGATGCAGAAATAATTAAGATAACATTCTCTTAGTTATAAAAACCCTTGTATCTTGTGCAAAAGAGAAAAGGCACAAAAAGACTACTGAATAATGCAGCAGATAGTAGGTATTAAACAAAAGATGTTAATAACATACCATGTGAGTTCAGAAGAGAAAGATAACATGCCTCATTGAATGTATCAGAAAAATCATCATGGAAAAAAATTTTTTGAAGAATGAGTAGGGCTTTAAGCAGTGGGAGTCGCTGTGGAAATCATGGCTACAGTGAACTGAAATGTGTTAAAGAAAATCATGGAGGCAAGAAAAAAAATAAAGCCTTTTTTTTAGTAATAGCAAATAATGCAATAAAGAAGCAGATAGGATACAGAAACAATATAACGATTTAAAGATAGTTCTGAAAAATAAAGTTAGTACCACATTATGAAACACTGGAGTCAGAGACTAATGTGTTACTATGCAATCCCTTAGACAAAGGGGAACTAATTAAAGATTTTAGGCAGGAGGAAAATGATCAGGGATTTGTATTACTACTTGTAAGCTATAGCCTGGGATGAGAGACAGAGACAGACAGGAGGATCCCTCGGACATGCTGCCCAGCCATTCTAAGGAAGTGGAATCTGTGAACTCCAGCTCAGTGAGAGGCCTTACTTAAACCTTGTCTCAGGCTGGCAAAATGACTTCATAGGTAAGGACACCTTCAATCAAGCCTGATGACCTGAGTTTGATCCCCAGGACCCACATGGTGTAAGGAGAGAACTGGCTTCCACAAGTTGTCCGTTGACCTCCACAAGTGTGGTACTTTATTTTATTCATTAAATAAGTAAATTAAAATAGAGAGAGAGAGAGAGGAAAGACTGTGTCTCATAAACTAAGATGGTGATCAATTGAGGAAGACATCCAACATTGATCTCTGGCCTCCACACATGCATGCACACAGATCCACACACACACTAACACCATATACCAACAGAAATAAAATAAATAAAAATTTTAAAAGGCTCTACTTTCAGTACTCTAATGAAACTGGGAGCCAGAACATAAGAGCTGCACAGTGAATGCATGATGAATCTGTAGAAACAGATAGTATACACTCAACAGGTAAACAGTTTGATTAAATACATTGCTAGTGTCCATGTACATGTGGGTTTAGGTACTACTGTGACTAGAAAACCAAACAGGATACTTAAGGAGAAAACCTGAGCATCAGCTATGTGATTAAACTATAATGCAGTCTTTTGTAATAGAAATAGGGAAAGAGTACTTATGGAGAATAGGAGTCAGGAAATTCTCTCAACCACTCATTTCTCCTTTGTGTTCCTAGAATATAGTTCTTTTTTTTTCAAAAAGCTTAATATACAAAAAAGGCATCTTATTTCCCTGTAATAATTAAGTATAGACTTAACTACAATTTTATGGAATTTTATCTTGTCCCTCTTTGTCACATCCTTCATTACCACTTAAGTGCCACCCTTTTACAATTGACTTTATAAAGAATTGCCCGTCAATATCCCCTTAATTTGCCATTATATGGTCAGAGGTAAGGTTTGGAGGCAAAAGAAGGGCATTCAGATCTCACAGGAATGAAAACCATACTTAAAATACAAATATACAACTGCACATCTTTTACTACTAAGTAGCAATAAAAACTTAGAGCTTGCTTTTCTTCCCCCAGCCAAGCCAACACTTCTCTCCTTGCCCACTCTAAGTAAATATAAATGGACAGCTCTGTCATACGTAGATATCGGACTTAGCTATTTTGGGTATGATGAGATTTTGATATATAGTTTCAGACATTAATAAAATTCACAAGAGAAGCATTCTGAAGCAATGAAACCACGAAACAGAATTAATGTATTTTTGTTTTAGAACCACACAGGGAAACTAAGAAAAGAAACTTGAAAAAAACCAGAGAAGCTCAGGAGATGCACTATCCTAGTTTTATGTATCACCAAGATAGCAGTATAAATGAGAAGTTATAGCTTACCACTTGAGAATAGATAGGGGACACAAAAAATGTTATATAACAGAGGAAAAATCACTAAGAAATGTTACAAAAAAAATAATGTCAGAACAAAACTCACATTTCCCCAGGCCTCTCTGTTGCACATAAATAACAAAACCCAAATTTTGCTGCTCTGTCTCCTTGTACACATTCAGCAGTTCAACTGCTGAAAGGGGTCTCAGAAACATTTCCAGAAGTTCTCAGGGGCTGTTTCATAAACAGAGAGAGGCACA